GCAATATGCCTCTTCCAGACCCTGGCAATTGTCCCTGTCGACAAGTATTCCCACAATGTGTAGACACTATTGATGGTCATGTAGCCACAGTGGACTACACCATTATACAAGATACACACGAGCTCTCTTCTTTGAAGGCTCCAAGTGTCGCCTCAATGCCGACACCACAGATGTGATGAAAGCATTGAAACTCGGTCTGGACGAGTATATTGCTAAATTTATAGCAACCATGAGATCAGCGCGCAATAATGAGTCTCTGATTGTTGACAGTCTCTCTCAGCTGCGCAGATGGCGCACATCGGTTCTTTCAAGATGCCAACGGAATATTACTTCGTCAACGTACCAACACATCTCTTCGGCAGCTACAACAGCAATTTGCTATAGTACCTGTCGGTAAACCATCACACAACATGGCAATCTGCTGCAAGCGCAGTACGAATATACCTTATCACGCCATCTTGACAGTTCCACCTACAATCAAGCATCGGAGACTGTGGTCATCATCCTCGAACGCCATGCACTTTCCAACCAACGTTGGGGCTATCGACATACTGACACCCTGCCCTATCTCTACTTTGCACTCAAAGCACACAAATCTCCACCTGCCCTTCGTCCGATTCTTGGAGTTGCACAACGAAACAACCTTTCTTGATCTGCACCTTGCACAACACCTCACCGACCGTTGGCATCTTGAAAGAACCGATGTGCGCCATCTGCGCAGCTGAGAGAGACTGTCAGCAATCAGCGACTCATTATTGCGTGCTGATCTCATGGTTGCTATAAATTTAGCAATATACTCGTCCAGACCGAGTTTCAATGCTTTCATCACATCTGTGGTGTCGGCATTGAGGCGACACTTGGAGCCTTCAAAGAAGAGAGCTCGTGTGTATCTTGTATAATGGTGTAGTCCACTGTGGCTACATGACCATCAATAGTGTCTACACATTGTGGGAATACTTGTCGACAGGGACAATTGCCAGGGTCTGGAAGAGGCATATTGCTTTTTATGTCGAGTGCCACTTTTGTAAAATTACAGAACTGGACACGGTGGCACCATCTTGTCGCAGATACGTATTTCCTTGGCAAGAGCAGGCCGTGGATGTAATTCAGCGACCTCTGGAAGCCAAAGGACGCTCCGTAACTCTGTGGTGCGAGCAACCTGATGCATGTGCATGACCTTAATGAAATTTAGGAACGGAACTCTATCATGTGCAAGGCCGCAGTATGGCTGCCATGAATACTGTAGACCACGGATCATGCATTCCAGTTGACGAACAGATCGGGAAAGGTTGTTTCGTTGTGTAACTCCAAGAATCGGACGAAGGGCAGGTGGGGATTTGTGTGCTTTGAGTGCAAAGTAGAGATAGGGCAGGGTGTCAGTATGTCGATAGCCCCAACGTTGGTTGAAAAGTGCATGGTGTTCGAGGATGCTGGCCACAGTCTCCGATGCTTGATTGTAGGTGGAACTGTCAAGATGTTGTGATAAGGTATATTCGTACCAGCAATGTTGTGTGATATTTTATCGACAGGTACTATAGCGAATTTCTGTTGTAGCTGCCGAAGAGATGTGTTGGCAGCACGCGAGGCAGTTTGAGTTCCTACAATCACGCATGAGAGACTGTGGCCAGCATCCTCGAACACCATGCACTTTTCAACCAACGTTGGGGCTATCGACATACTGACACCCTGCCCTATCTCTACTTTGCACTTAAAGCACACAAATCTCCACCTGCCCTTCGTCCGATTCTAGGAGTTACACAATGAAACAACACTCCTAGTCCCTCAAGGCGCGTTGTCGGAGGGCTCGGTGTCTCGGCCCTCCTCTACGTACCAAGTCCCTGCTTGGTGTCCGCGGTCTGAAAGTGTGTTCTCTAACTACGATCCCTAGTACGCGGGCTGTACCTTGACGTGGACCGGCCCTGTTGGTGCCTTCCCTCTGCAAAAAAAAGGGTGCGCCACAGGGCTTTCCATTGTTGGACTCCAATAGTTGTATTCGGGGGTACAAGAGAATTCTGAGACACTATGCTTTCTTTCCTTTCTTTTGATATTATTATCTCTATATATACTAAAGGATGGAGAGGGCCCGACGACATGCCCTGTCGCGGGCCCAGCGAATTTGGAGGAGGCCGAAATTGGGCAGCGGGACCGCGGGGTCCAGGTCTCAGTGGAGGAGAGGCCCGCGAAATTGCTGGCGCGCAGGTGGGGGATAGCGGACGGCGGAGCACGGCGGAGGGGCGCAGTGCGACAGCAAATGTTGACGCGAGAGGCCCACGATATTGTTGGCGCGCAGGCGGGCGATAGCGGGTAGCGCTAGGGCGATAGCGGG